GTTTTGAAATTGCCTAAACATCCCATTGCAACATTGTAAAGGAAAAAATCCATTTTTTTCAGCTCAAAATGACTTTTTATTTAGAAATTTAAGCTACCTATAATTTATTTTAAAAAATTTAAAAGGTGGAAATTGAAATGAAAGATTTGATTGACCCAAACAGAAATATTTTTCAGATTGTTGGTTCATGAAAAATGTTGAGATGTCGCCTTCTTGTCCCAATTTGGAATTGGAACATTTTTCAAAATCTTGAAAATGTTCCTGGGGTAGGAAAACCGTTCCCTACCCAGCTCTAATGACAATTTCTTTAGGAGTCCACTATATTCAGCCCAAGAGCAGGGGAAATCTCTGAAGAAGAAATCCTTACCCACCCCACTCCCTCCTAAGGCCATGGAATGGCCATAAAGAGTCCCTGGGGGCACCACAGGGATTTCATTTGCTGTTATCTTTAAATGGTTAAACTACTGAATTAACATATTTCCTGCCTACCCTTATTTAAATAAGCTATCCGATTAAACCAATCTGAACATCCCAAAGTACCACCAACGCTCCAGTTCCACTTTAGGGGAGGGGATGGAATCTTCCCAGGGCTTTTATCTTCCCTCTGCCTACATTAGACTGAATAGCATCTAGCTGTGCTGGTGACACTGAGGATTTCAGATTAATCCTGTTTACAGATAAATGAATATCTACAACTGTAGGATATCTGCATTGACCTCAATGGGACAACCTTGTGCCTGAGGACACAATTTGACCTTTAAACTGATGTATACCCCAAGCTATAGCTAGCTAGTGCCTTGAAGAAATCTCTGCAGAATTTTCCCTTTTGCTGGGGATGTGATGTGTTTAAGTTCAGCAATTCATGTTTTAAACACTTATATTAAATACTTCAAGAAAAAATATGCACTGAGACTCATTAGTATCTCAATGCTTCAAGGACTACACACACACCTTTGCTAAAGTTCAAATTGCAAGCTAATGATCATATATGGCATGTTTTGTTTTACCACTTCTTGGGTTTTGGCAGGGTCTCTTCATGGCTCATTGTTATGT